CCCGGTCGCCCCGTCCCTGCTGGGCTGCGGCGGCTATTCTTAGCCTGGGCATCAGCCCCGGGCTCTGGGGCAGCTCTGCTGGTGGTAGGCATGTTTATTATTATTTGTTGCTGTTATTCTGGAGGTTTTTGGAGGGGAAGGCGTGTTCCCCAGCAGGACCCGGGCAGGTGGCTTCACCTTGCGGCTGGGCCGCACGGGGGGGGGGAAAAGGCTGGAGGCCAGCAACCCGCCGCGGAGGTGGCCGCAGAGACGTCCTGCTCGCCAAAAGTGGCCCTCACCTTGAAATCAGGCAATCAAAAATCCCCCCCCCCGCCATCTGTGAAGTGTGTAGAGGGCTTTGCTTTGTGCTTTTATTTTGTGTGTCTGTGGAGTTTTTTTTCTTTCTCCACGTAATTTTTGCAAGAGGAAGGGAAATCGCTCACTGGTAAATAAAAAGAAACCAATCCGGCAGTGGATTTGCCATTATTAGGGCTTGGGATAAGCCGTGGCTCCTACAGTGCGTTTATTTCTAGTGATTAAATAAGAGGATAATCATAGTATAAAGTAGTAACAAAAACCCAAACCTTGGCTGACAAGCATAATTCGGGAAAGGACAAGTCTGAACAAGTGAGGGATAGGCATTAGGATATAAAGTGAGAGGCCTTTACCGGGGCTGCAAGACACTTCTTTCAGTAGTGGTTGTAATCTGTTAAGAGGCTGCTTATCCTAATGTAAATTAATGGCGAAATTTACATTTATTATTGAATTACATATGCACTCTTTCAGAAACCTGAGCTGGAAGTAGCAGTGAAATGCATTAACAAGAAAAACCTCGCAAAATCTCAAACTCTGCTGGGCAAGGAAATAAAAATACTTAAGGTAAAAGTAGACTGACTTGTTTTCTTCAGTCTTTGTTCTGTATGGCCTTTGTTTGTGCTCCTAGCTTATGGTCTTTGTTTTGCTTTTTCTAGGAATTGAAACATGAAAACATCGTTGCCTTGTACGACTTCCAGGTAAATACATTCAGTTACAGCAAAGCATTCTGGATTTGGGATAGATTGAATGGAGCTTGTGGAATTTCAGTTTTTCACAGAAGTTTGTAATGAAATATGTGTTCTTGGGGAGGAGAAAAAAGTCTTCTGATAAGTTAGGGAAAAGCTGAGCAGATTGTTTATTAGTTGTTGTCTGGACCACAGAACTCTTAAGGCAGTTGGGAGCTGAGGTGGGAGCTCCTGCTCCCAGGATGTTATGTAGTGAAATGCAGCGTAGTGAATATGCTTGTATTGGGAGCTCTTAAGTTCTCAAAATGTTAGAAGTAAAATTAAAGTAGTTATTCTCGGCATGCCTGCCTTTTATTTTCTTTCTTTAGTCTGGATATAATCCCTAAGAAAATTTCTTTTTCCTAAAGTGATGTAAAAATAGTGCGAGATGACTTTGTAGCATATGATTGTCTTCAGTTCCAGAGGATTTTTATTTGCATTTTTCTGTTGTCCTTGTGGCAATCACTAAGTGTTAAAAATTGCAGCAGACATTTTTAGATTATTGTGGTTTCCCGCAGTTGCTTTTTCCTTCAAAGTCAGCTCTGAAGATCTAATCTAAGGGGCTGCAACCTATCTGCTCTGAAACCCAAGTTATCCAACTACTTCCCCCCCTCCCTTGAATTTTTAGCTCAAAAATCCTGCTGGATCACGGGGCAAGTTTTCTTTGACATTCGTGATGCTTTTTTAAAAAAAGCCGCAGGATTTAAAAGCCTAAAATGGAACTCCTCTGTGCGTGGATGGAGGGGCTGGTGTGCGGGACGTCGGTACCGCCTG